CAGAGTTCATATTACATAAGGAATTCCTATAAATCAATGTGAAAAAAGAAAAATGACTTATTACAGTAAGTCATAAATGATATAGAATGGAATATATGGAATAAATGATACAATTTGCAACAGTAGAAATCAAAATATCCAAAAGTATGTGAAAATTTTTTCCACTTCATGAGTAGTGAAATTCAAATTAAATACTGTTCTGTAGTATGGAGATTATCAATAATTTAAAGATCTAATCATATCACGTGGAGAAGCAAATGTAACATTCTTACATTACTATGGCAGTGTAAATTTGTATAATCAACCTGGATAATAATTTAGCATTGTCTAATAAAAGTCAATGGTATAAATACTATACACCTATCAGTTCTAGGAAGTATGCCTTACAAAAGCTCACATACATATATGAGGATGTTTTTAGAAGTATTGTTTAAAGTAACTGAATATTGGAAATAAACAAAATGTTCTTCAACATAAGCAAAGATGAAAATGGAACAGCAACATAGTGAATGGTTTTATTTTACAGCAGAATGGATGAAACTCACAAATAATGCTGAATGGGGGCCAGCAGATAGCATAATGGTTGTCTCTGGACTCCCACGTAGTCGACCACAGTTTGAGCCCCGGACCAGATGGCTTAAAACTCATGCTGGGCACGTGTGCATGTATACCCAAAATCCTGAGAGGAGAATGGAGGAGAAGGGATTACACTATGGCCATCCCCCCAGGGGGGATCATTTCTCACTTTCTGTCTCTCAGGTGAGCGCACACGCCCTATAGCAAAAATCCCCCCCAAAAAATAAGTAATTAAACAAATAACACTGAACTAAAGAAAGCAACAACATAGGTGAAGAAAACAAAAAAATGAACAAATGCAGCAACACAAAAATATTAATGCAGTATAATTTCAATGAATATGCAAAACTGAAGTAAAAAATTCAAGAACATATACATATGTATACATGGAAATTAGTATGATAGAGGTCCAGAAATGGGATAGAAGTTTTGATCACGAGAGTGTGGGTAGGCCTTCAGAGGAACTGGACTTGTCTCTCTGTGGCCTGAGCAGAAGTCACACAAATGCTTTCTCATAATCATTTATTAAAATTACACATGTACGGGACCAGCAGATGGCCTAATCTTTCTGTCTCTGGACTCCCACACAGTCCAACATGGCTTGAGTCCCAGACCCAGCTGCTTAAAACTCATCCCTGGTATGTGTGTGTGCATAACCCAAATCCCGAGAGGATACTAGAGCAGAAGGGATTGCGGTGTGGCCATCTCCCCTGGGGGTGGGGGGTAATTTCTAGCTTTCTGTCTCTGTCTCTCCTGTGAGTGCATGCACCCTATAGCAAAAATCTTTTAAAAAAAAATAAAAAAAAGTTACACACGTAGGTTTGTAATTCGCCTATAAGCATTTCATTACATTTCATTTCAAAATAAAAAAGGAAATAAAGGAAATGAGATATATAACATATACTTTAAATATATGAGGGTTATTTTTTTAAGAGTTAAGATTAAGCCCATGGACAAACAAGAATATTTGATAAACAAGAATATCTGACTTTTTTCATGTTTATAATTTTTTTAAAGAAAATAAATGTGACTAGAAAGAGTGGGACAAAACATATATATCAATAGGGTAAGGTAACTTCACTTGTTCTCTCCTATATGTTCTCTCTCTGAGAGCCTTTACTTCAGGATAGGTTTTATCTATAAAAAAGTAACATAAGGGACCGGCAGTTGGCATAATGGCTATGTAGCTGGACTCCCATGTAGTTAACAACAGTTCGAGTCCTGGACCCAGTGGCTTAAACTCACGGCGGGCATGTGTGCGTGCGTGCCCAAGATCGCGAGAGAAGAATGGAGAAGGGATTGCGGTGTGGCCATTCCCCCCCGGGGGGGGGGTGATTTCTCGCTTTCCATCTCTCTCTCTCTCTCTCTGTCTTTCTGGCAAGCATGTGCCCTATAGCAAAAGCCTCTCCCTGCCAAAAAACAAAAAAAAAACAAAACAAAAAAGGAGAGAATATTTGCTTCCTGAAGCAGCTATCTTGCCCTGTATTGATCTAGTAAGGGATAGGGGGAAAAATGAGATCAGAATAAAGGGATACAGGCTAAGTTACATAAGAAAGAACTGAGGATATATAGGAGAGAGAGACAAAGTTCAGGAGATGTCCCTCTGGAAGAGAGACAAGAAAACAAGACAATAGGAAATATTTTTTGTGACATTCCAAGATAAGAAATCAATTAATTATTTTAATAAAAGTTTTCTGTGTGACTCCTCTGGTCACTCCTCTGGCTTTTTTATTTTTATTTAATTTTTTTCTACGCTTTAGCCACAATGATTGTTCGCTCACCAGAGACAGAGAAAAAGACACACAGAGGGAAATGAGAATCAACCTCCAGGGAGGATGACCATGCCGTAATCCCTTATCCTCTGGCTACCAGGTCCAGGACTTGAAACCCCAGGACTTAAACCCAAGGAAGTGGGATTCAGTGCTTTAACCACCACACCACCAGCTGGCTCCCTCTGGTCAATGTTTTTAAGAAAACTTCAATAAAGCTTTAATTTTACTTCGAAGGTTATGTTATGCTCAGATGTTTAAAGTCCAAAAGTATGGTATTATTGGCCTTGTAGATAATGGCCAAATTTATTATTATATTTACACTAAAAGAATGATACATGAAGAGAAATGTATTTAAATACAGTAAAACTGAATTTCTAGGAAAACACTACAATCAAAATGACTAATGAGAGTTTATAAAAGACATTACATACATGGTCTGTCATGATATTTTAAAAGAACAAACAACATTTTTAGTGTCATTGAAATAAAAATATGCCAAAAAGATGTATAATTATAGTCACAAAATTACAAACTATGTGGAAACACATTTAATAATTTTAAGTAGGCTTTTAAAATATTTTAGAAGAGTACAAAATATTATTAGAACATTAAAAAAAGTTTAAACAAATAAGAACATAAGTTATGTTCCACATTAAGAAGACAAACTACTGTTAAAGTATCTAATTTCTCTAATGCAATAATTGATATAAAAATCCTAGTACTGTTTTACACAGAACTCAGTAACTATTTTTAATGGTTAATAAGGGCCAGCAGGTGGTATGGTGGTTGAGGCACTGGACTTCCACATGGCCAACTGTGGTTTGAGTCCTAGACCCAGTGACTTGAAAATCATGTTGGGCATGTGCGTATGCATGCCTAAAATTATGAGAGGAGAATGGAGGAGAAGGGATTGCAACATGGCAAATGTCCTACGGAAGAGGGGTGATTTCTCATTTTCCATCTCTCTGTCTCTCTCTGGTTAGTGTACATGCCCTATGGAAAAACCACACACCACAATAAAAGGTTAATAATGTCTAAGAAAATCTGAAAATGATAGCAAATATGTGCATATGTTTGCAGAGGTGAGATGACCTAGCTTAATATTTGAATATACTCAATAGTCTAAGAAAATATTTTAAAGGCTCTTGTGGGCCTGTCCTGGAGCCACGTGGTGAAGAAAGCTGGATCCTACAAGGACAGAAAGGTTCAAATTACAGCTCTAGTGGTCCGAAAAACACTGTGGGCATGCAGGTGTGTGTGCCTCGAGTCCCAGTGATATAGACTAATGGAGGAGAGGGGATTATGGTGAGACAATGGTCACTGGGGGGTGCTTTTTCCCTCTCACTTTCCCTCTCTCTCTTCCTGTCTATATTGTAAGCGCATGTGCCATCTAGCAATTTAAATAAATAAATAAACAAATAAATAAATATTTGCAACAAGAAACAAAAGTCAAGAAACAAGAATGAAGATAGAAGAAATAGTTGCTACTTTATACAAAAACCTAGACATATGACAATAAATTAAATTACAAGGTTAAGAGATCAGAAAATAATTTTATAAAAAGTTTAGACAACTCAAGGAAATCTTTTAAAAATCAATTCAAATTCAAAGTATGAAATCAAAGTTTATAGAATTGAGGGTTGTTCCAATAACAAGTCAACATGTGAAATACAGAAACAAAATCCCAAAATTGAACATTTCTAATTCCCACCTGAGATCAGAGGAAATACCCAGCCGATTAATTCACAAATGAGCTAAATAAACGCTTGTGACACAGGATGAACTTGCATTTTTGTGAGTGGTTACTATATAGCTTACGTGCAGCAGTGAGCAACTGATACAAAGACAATTTACTAGCAATTTTTCTCAGTTAAATTCTATACCCAGGTTGGCAAACATAGGACCCAACGACCACTTAGTAAAAATTACAGATTTTGTGGGCCACCGTCAGTCTCTGTGGCATATTCCTCTTTGTTTTGTTTTGTTTTTATAATCTTTTACAAATGTATCTTTAAAATTCTTAGCTTTGACACTATAACAAAAAGGCAACTGTTCATATTTGAGCCATGGGGTCTAATTTGCTGAACCCTGTTCTATCTCATGTAAAGACTAGGTATTGCCAACTTGATACAAAATGGTCACTAAGGATGCAAATCAATAGAGCAAAGCAATGCAATAAAATATGTTAACTATTTAGATATAATAAAAATGTTAAAAGAGAATTATATCAGCATTTTTATTGTTCATTTTGTATGCCTATCTGCAATGTCATATCGGTAAAGGTTTAATAACAAATTATTAGGTGACAGTAAATATTATCACCATGCTAATTTCACACCAATGGAGTGAAGTTGAGATGCATATAGCTGGCCCTACCTGTGCCAGGAAGCGCCAACTCCAGCACATCAAAGTTGTATTGCCTACCTATTTTACTGCCAATACTAGAGTTCAGTAGCAGTGATAAAAGAAATTGGTTATAATTCACAGAGTGAGTTTTCCTTAAATTGATGTGCTTCTTTCATTTGCCTGACTTTCCTATTACCAGTTAATTTTTTTTTCTGACCCTGGAAAAGACATCTTTGTAACTACTTTCTTCCGTAAATGATCTTCCTATCATCTACATTCAAAACACTCCATTTTAAATACACTTACCTGACTTGGTTTGATCGTCTTCAATGAGAGAAGAGGAAATTGTCTTATTTTCAGGTATGGTGATTAACAGTATTTTCGAAATCTAATTAGAAAGAAAAATATTTAAATATTATGAATCAGAATTCCTTTGTATTTTATTTGACTAGAAATTGTCAACTGATACTGTCAGGATGAATTTCTGATATTATAAGATATATTAGAGATACATAAAAATGAATACTAAACTATGAAAATCCCTTCCAGGAACACCAAATATAAAAATTCTTGTTGAAGAGCGATCTTTGGGGCCAGCCCCTGGTATGGTGGTTAAGGTAGCTGGATCCCAATAGCCAATCAAACAGTTCAAGTCCAAGAAACGGCAGCTTAAGAAACACATTGGGCACATGACACTGAGATCCACCCACCAGCCTCAGCTAGCCTGGATCATGGGCACAAATGTGCCTGGCATGCTCCAACTTGAATTGTAAACCTTCCCATGATGAATTGCCTCCCAGAGCACCACATTTTACCACTGCCCCACAGTCTGACCCAACAGTCGGTCTTAGACTGGTTGTCCTAAGGAGTACTCTGAGAAAGTGACATTTGTCTATCATAAACTGGGAAAACGTCCCAGAAGATTTTAGGGAAGAATTTTCCTGGCAGAGCTGACAAAAACTAACGGTTCTAAAGCGGAAAACGTGGTTAGAGTGGCCAGAAACCCGAAGGTAAACAATAATTAACCCTATTACCCGATCCTAATGCAAAAGTGTAAATTAATGACAACAGAAAGGGTTATTGCACTTTAATTGACATTCAACCAAAGCATTCTACCATCCTCTCCTGATTCTTCCTGACTGGAACCCTCAGGCTATCTCCATCACCCTGGCAGGCTAGCTCCTCAACTCACTTGCAGGGTAAAACTCTCAGATCTTTCACAGGTTTTGCAAGAGAGCTGATTCTTACAATTTTGTGAATTTACAAGTCAGTCAGGCCATGCTAGTACTTTGAAATCAGCCATGGTGAGTAGATTTACACTATGGCAATCAATAAGTGCCACATATCAAGTCATGATTTTGTCTTGAGAGATGGTTGTCAAGCATTTACTGGCACACCTCTGGTAAACAAAGGTTCATGATTATGTAAGAGTTGTCTCATCAGATACAACATAAGACCACTGAAGACAGGATGACAGATCTGATGACTAGACTCAAGAAGGTCATCAAAGCTGGAATGAGTTCTACTCAGAAAACACAGTATAGATAATGTGGTTCCAGAACAGTGTAATGAAGAGAAATAAAGAATCATCATAATAGATTAGTAGGTAAAAGAAAGTGCTAACTTTGGGTTAAAAAGATTTGGAAATCAACTATTTCAAACTTCATATCTTAACAAATATGGAATGTCTGCACTCTGTGACAGAAACTGAAAGACTGAAAAGTATAAAAGCATGGAGAGCAACTGTGGATACTAGAGACACTGTGGGAGGAGGATGGGAAATGGAGGGGAAAGGAAACAAGAGGGAAAAGAAAGAAGCACACCATTTAAGGGACACGAAAATGAAAAATTATCAGTTGATAATATGTATGGTAATATCTTTGACTGAACCAATATGCAGTGTATTCATGATGGGAAAATCTATTTGGTATGCTGTAATAATACACAATGATTGAATGTAAAAACAATGTTTTTTTTTGTTTTTGTTTTTGTTTTGAGAGGTTTTTGCTACAGGGTGCGTGCGCTCGCCAGACAGAGAGAGACATAGAGAGAGAAAGCGAGAAATCACCCCCCAGGGGGGATGGTCACACGCCGCAGTCCCTTCTCCTCCATTCTCCTCTCGGGATCTTGGGCACGCACGCACACGCGCCCGGCGTGAGTTTTAAGCCACTGGGTCCGGGACGCGAACTGCGGTCGACTACCTGGGAGCCCCACCGAACTGCGGTCGACTACGTGGGAGTCCAGCGACATAGTCATTACGCTGGACTCCCACGTAGTCGACTGCGGTTGACCCAGCAGTTAGCGTAATGGCTCTGTCTGTCTGGCGAGCGCAGGCGTCCTACAGTGAAAATCTCTCAAAAAAAAAAATAATTTTTTTTAAGAAAAGAAAAGAAAAAAGAAAAATGCATCATGACTTTTCAGACAACCTAAGAAAGTACAGAAATGATCCTGAAAAAAAAAATCAAACTTGGTATCTTAAATTCTATCTATTTTCAACTTCTCTTTGAAAAATATCATCTACTTTGGAGAGGGAATAAAAAAATTCTAAGTCACTATCACCAAACTCACAAAACGAAGACATCTGTGCCCTTCCTTACCTCAGTCTTTAGTAAACCTATTCTTCTGCTGGTTCGTCTCATCCCTCAAACTTGCACAAGGAAGCTTATAACATCCTCCCCTCTTGAGTTATTACTTTAATTACCTTTTTAAAATCTGTATCTTATCAGAAATCTCATATGTGCTCTTTTCTTAAAGCAATCTCTTTTCTTAATAGTTATGAAGCCAAACATTTTTTCAGCATCAACCTAATAAGTGGAAATGCCTTTCTTTCCACTTTTAGGATCTCCTATGAAAACTACTTTATCAAAGCTCATTCTTTTTTTTCTCCTTCCCCCCCTCCCCAGGGCACATGCACTTGCTGGAGGGATACAGATAGAGAGAGTGAGAGGGAAAGTGAAAAATCACTTCTCAGAGGGGAAGGCCAAACCACAATCCCCTGTTCTCCTTTCTCCTCCCAGCATTCTGGGCATGCACACACCTGTGCCTGGCTTGATTTTCAAGCTCACAGATCTGGGACTAGTACCACAATCAGTCAGTACAGTGCCTTAACCACCATGCCACTTGCTGACCCCATCATGACTCTTTTTTCTTTCCCCTTTCCCTTCTCTAGCCGCCTACTCTATTTTCTTCTGAAGACTCATTATTAATATTATATTTTTGTAATCTTTTCCTTTATTTTCTCTTTCTACCATTAGAATACACAATCTGATTTACATAATTGGTTTCCATTATAATACTGTAGTCTTGAATCTCCAACAAACCCTCCAATACAACTTTCTACAATGATGAAAATGTCCTAAACGTGTATTTTTCAAAATGGTAGGTAGATACTAGCTACATGATTTCTTCAGTCAATACCAATCACTTGAAATGTAGCTAATACAACTGAGGCATTAATTAATTTTACATCATTTTACTAATTAAATTTAAATAGTTACATTTGGCTACTAGGTACAAAAACATAAATCCATAGCAATGCCTGGTACATAGAATGGAGTCAATAAAATCTTGGTGAAAATAAAAAGAAGTCAGTGAATAGGAAAACATGTATGACTGAATGAAATGCTGGCAATCAGTTTATAATCCTTTGGATTTGACCTGGAACTTTCCCCTCTATCTATTCAAGCTTCCTGGCATTGGTTCTGTTTTCAAGTTTTATTAATAGTGTTGCTTGTTTCCACACCTGACTAGCATGTGACATTAGAAATCTTTCTGTTTCGTCAGTCTTAGGTTGACACCTGAACGTATCACCACATTCCTCACAGTCCCTTTGCTGCATCGTGGCTAAAACAAAACTTCTGAGCTATCTATCTTCCTGGACAGAAATTCTCTTCATTTTGCACACTTTCACAATTTTATTTGTCATTACCTTTCTAAAATATGCTTACAGTGAAATAGTGCACAGCAATATAATAAAGAAAGGAAAAGGTTAATGATAAAACTGAAATTCCAGTTCTTAATGGTTACATTTCCCTTCCACCCTCACCAGAAATTACAGCATCAAAAATATAATTCCATGGTTTCATTATGTTTACAATGTAATATGTCACAAAATAAAATAGTATATAGTATTAGTTAAGTTTTAAAATTTTATAAGAATTATATTATAATCTAACTCTACAACTTCTTTTTTTCTCCTATTGAATGTACCCATGTTTGAGATGTATACATATTGTTACCTGAAGTGTATTTAATTCTTATAATTGCATTGTATTGGCACCCCATTCTCATATTGACAGTCATTTCAGTTGTTTTCAAATATTTCCCTATTGTAGCCAAGATTGCTATAAAAATTCTTGTACACATGTGTGTGTGTGTGCATATGTGTTTGATACTAGATTATTTCTAGGAAATATGTGTGGAGAATAAATGCTGGGCTTAAAATATTTTTTAACCTTCAACAGCTCTAGATATAGTCCTTTGCCTGTACACATATATGCATTAAAAAGGTCTTCCAATTTATTCCATTCACCGTTATTTGACTAAAACATTGATTTTTTTTTTTTCTGAGAGGTTTTTGCTATAGGGCATGTGCGCTCACCAGAAAGACAGAGACAGAGAGACAGAAAGTGAGAAATCATCTCCCAGGGAGATGGCCATGCCGTAATTCCTTCTTCTCCATTCTCCTCTCTGGATCTTGGGCATGCACTCACATGCGCCCGGTGTGAGTTTAAGCCACCGGGTCCAGGACTTGAACTTCAGTCAACTACATGGGAGTCCAGCAACATAGCCATTACACCAACTGCTGGTCCCAAAACATTGATTTTTAATGTAAAGGACATATAAATCATTTTTGACTCACCAGTTGCCAATATCCACAAGTCATAGCCAGAGTCAGCAGTTAAATAACAGAAAACTCACCACTAACACCCACAAAAATTAAGTCTTAAAGTCAACAGTGGTAAATAAAATACACTCTTTGAAAACCGAATTATTATCTGTTTGTAGATTTTATCTTTGTGAAATGCTGCTGCTTTTAATTCATGTTGTTTTAATACTTTGATACGGCTATAAAATTAATGTATGACTTTCCTATTCTTTCCTATTCTCATTAAAATATTAATCAATTTTAGTTTGTCTTCAGTCATTTCAGAGCCTCGCACATTCTTTCCAGTAAACAGTGTAAAAATACTGGAGTCCTTCTAGCAATTATGAAAACTTTGTATCATTTTTTTTACTCTTAATTGATTTTTATTCTAATGTGCTTAATAACGGTTAAAGATCTATATTTCTTTTGCAAAGAAGATAAAAATAGTCTGATAACAGAATGTATTTGATAAGCTGTGGGAATATTGAAAAACACAGTTGCCTTTTCATCTCTTTTCACTC